GATCATTAGTAAACCACAGAGGAGCTTCAGAAGAGTGATTGATGCAGAAATGATTGCCAGGTAGTACAATTATTACTTTAATATACTTGGTTGTGAGAAAATGAGAGAATTTAGTCAGAAGCTATAAGAGTATATGGAACTGGGACAGTATTTTTAGAAAAATAATGTTATGACACCCACACAAATAGAGAAAATAGTTTGAATGTGCTAAGTGCTAAGTGTAAAACACAAGTGGAGAAAAAAAATTAAGTACCAACTAGAGAAATAACAAGTTTCGAGGAGCTAGTTCCCAGAGAAAGCAGAATGGAGTAATATCTAAAGCACAGGGGGAAGCATTTGTCTTGAATTGAGAAGGGATATCTCCTGTACTGTATTAGCTCAGGCTGCCACAGCAACCTACCGCAGACAGAGGAGTGAAGATAGACAGAAAGCAACTTCCCTGGTCTCTTCTTATAAGGGCACTGATCCCATCATAAGGGCCCCTTCTTCATGACCTCATGTAAACCTAATTATCTTCCAAAGGCCACTTTTCCAAACACCAACACATTGACGGTAAAGACTACAGCATATAAATTTGTGTGTGTGTGTGTGTGTGTGTTGCGGGGGGTGGGGGTGGGGCCCAACAATTTAGTCCATAGTATGTACCAAACTGAAGGAAGGAGAAAAAATAGTTGTTTGTATACAGAGATATCTGGTCATAGGCAGGAAGATAGATAAAAATGTTCTTATATATTGGTCACAAAAATGCACACAGTGAAATATTCAAACTCTTAATCTATATCAAAAAGAAAAGACAAATAGCAAGGTAAGGGGAACAATGAGAACTCTGGCATACTGTGGAAAAGACAGTGAAAATTAGGAAAGAAAGAAACATGCCACATGGATGCACACTGTTGCTTACCTATTTTATTGTTATTGTACCCTGTTACTTACTAACAACTCTAATTTTAACAAGGAGACAGAGGACAAGGAGAGATATTACCTTCAAAATACTAAATAACTCCTCATTATGATTTTATGTCCAGCAAAACATCCAATAAGAATGGAGGTGAGAGCCCTGGCCAATTTGGCTCAGCGGTTGAGCGTCGGCCTGTGGACCAGAGAGTCCTGGGTTCCGTTCCCGCTAGGGGCACGTACCACACACACACACAAAGAATGGAGGTGAGATAAATACTTCATGAGAAGATTTGCACTAAAGGAAAAATGAAAAGGAGTTCTTCAAGGAGAAAGAAAATGCTCACAGATGGAAATGACCTTTCATTTGACCTATCCTGATTCACTAATTTTTTTTCCTTTATTGATTTTAGAGAGAGAGAGAAAGTGAGAGAGAGATAGAAACATCGATGAGAGAGAACATCGATTGGCTGCCTCCTGCACGCACCCCACTGGGGATTGAGCCCACAACCTGGGCATGTGTCCTGACTGGAAATCGAACTAGTGACCTCTTGGTGCATGGGTTGATGCTCAACCACTGAGTCACACTGGCTGGACACTAATAATTTTTAACTTTATCTAATTTGTGTTAAACTCACCCACTGAAATCTAGTTTCAGCTATTGAATTTGCAATTCTAAATGTAGAAAAAAATTGAACAAAAAAGGTCAAATATGTAGGTAAATTTAAATTACTACTGACCTGATAACTACCTATAATAATAATAGTCTTTTCTATATATAATAATTAAACACATGGCAGCATTTGCTAGATGATCTAAAGGTAGGCTGTGAGTCACTTAATTTCAGTGGAATTCCCAGTGGGATCTGCCAGTAGTCATTTTTAGCTAATGAGTCCAAACTAGGCTTCAGGCTGAGCTTTCCAGTAATCAGGATGGACCTAGACATCCCCTGGGCTTTCAGGTCGGATCTTGCCAACCTATTGGCCACTTTAACCCACACGCCCTTCTGAATGGCTAGACCCGAGCCTCTTTGTTAGGAAGGTGCTCTTCGCAATGTATTAACAGTCACAGAGAGAGATCTGTAAAGAAATGATTGTGTAATTATGCCAGAGTAAGTGTGAAAGAATTGTTTTGTTGTTAGGAATTTGAAGTTTTCAAGCTTTTCTTTTCTTTGTCATTTTATGCAGCCATTAGGGGATACAAGCAAAAATGCTCTCAGTTTAGAAGAGCTTTCTAAAATCTTTATTTGCAGAGGCTTTTGAGTACTGAGCTTACATATTTCTCTTTATGCACAAAAAGTCTTCAATAGGAAAAGCAATCTCAGTTCACATGATTGAACTGTTGTAATCCATTTTCTGTCTTGTCAGTTTCTCCTGTGCTCAGAGGCATGCTCACCAACTCAGAAAACAGGACACATTCTGTACCAGGAAACTACAGAAACGGTAGTGCTTTTCCTCTGTTCCCTGATGGTTTCTCTGTGTTCCCTTTAGGACCCTTATACCTTCAATCCCCATCACTTGTCACTCTTCCTCAGGCACTCTGTTCCCCTTAGTCCTCTCGTCTCACCTTCGCTCTCCTGGACTGCAGGTAGGAGAACACTTCTCTCTCACATAGTATTTGTTTTTATTACCTAAAATGTTTTGGTCTGCTCTTCAAAAACCACTTCTCTTTCTTCTTTTGGGAAAAGTATACACTTGGATTGGGGGTGAAGAAGAGTATCTAATGATTCTTTGGCATCTCAGTCATCTTCAGCACTATACGTAGGTAAGTTAAGTACTCACAACTTTCCCAAGTCATTACTTTTAGTTTTCATTTATATGTGGGACAATTGAGACAAGTCTCTTTCCTGTATCTTGCTATGTTCCTTGTTTCTGGTGCTAAAAGCCCACATTATACTAGAAACCTGGAGGTTCGGGGAGGCTGATACCTGAGAGCTGTCTGAGGCTGATACCTGACAGCTGGGAGGAGACCAGGACGTAACTGATAGACTCTGGGCACCTTGTGACTCAAAAATAACCCTCCCTGAGCACTCCAGACAGATAAGGTTCAGAAACAAAGTGTATCTTTAGTTATAGTTATCCCCCGTAATTATGTAATCCGAGGTGTGTGCAATTCAGAACAGGACGCAGGACACAGCCTTGGGGCAAACCTTTCCAGCTGGTGCAGTTTTTCTCCGGTGCCCTTTCTACATCTGGTTTCACGCGAGTCCAGGTCTCCAAATGCCTTTCTGGTTCCTAATCAGACCAGTTCTCTGTGAATATTCTCCTCCTGAGTCTCAACCATTCACACGTCCATTTTTGTTTTTAAATAACACTTTGAGCCAGTTACAATACCTAGCTGCTTCTGTATGTCTCATTCTAGAATGAGCTCCTCTCAGGCAGCTTATCTTTGGGAATGATGTAGTCAGCTCACTCCACCTAACTGTGACAATAACTGAAAACATATGGTGGCAGCATTCTCAGAGCTGTTTCCATTCCAGATTCGGACTCACTAGTCTGAATAAGTGAAGCATTGAGAATAGCAAAATTGTAACACCAGGTAAAAGTGATGACTTTATTTATGTCTGTGACCCCTCAAATAGCTAATACAGTAGACCTCTACCTGTGAGGGAGTCTAGCCTCAGACACGATACAATGTCCAGGTTGTCCTATGCAAGATTTTCATGCTTTGTCCTTTATTTCTAAAAGAGAAAGTTCCTCCAGAGTTTAAGAAATCTCTAGTGCCAGTAGTGGGGCTCCATCTGGAGAGGAGTAGAACAGAGGGGAACTTTCTTTCTGTCTGTATTTCATGACTGGACCCCTTGCTGTTTCAGCATCTTCTGCTGCTGCTGCACTATTCTCCAGGTGACGCCAGGCCACCGTAGCTAGAGCTTTGAGTGTCGAGTGAAAGAAAAATAAAGTAACAAGAGAAACTGCAATCCCAACATGACTGGAGGCATTTAGGTTTTTATAAGTAATATATACAATTTATCCATGTATTTTCCTCTTTTAGAAATCAACTGGAATCTTCAAACTCTACCTTAATACCAAATTCTCAAACTTATTTATCCTCTGGGCTGCTGGATTTCAAAACGTTTTTCTTTACTTCTGTGTTAGTTATTGTTCAACGAGGTGAGAAACGCAGGTAATGTGGACTGGATCCCGAAGAATAGTTTTAGTTCTGTGTGTTGTTTGGATAAACAGTGGAAGGGAAATGATGTTTCTTGAGAAACTGAATGTGCTGGTCTAACAGTATGAACACAAGAGACAGAGCAGGACATGAAGGTCAAGACAGTGCGGTAATAGTACTGAAGGTTATTCTGAGCTGATGATTGTAATCTGGTTGTTGGTTCAGAGTCAGAAAAACAGGTCAAGCTTTGGAAAGTTCATGGGCAGTCTATATTTACAAATGGCATGAAGGCACAGACAAGAGCTGACTCTGAATGCATGAACTGGGAATGGAGATTATGACCAGAGTCTGTTTCCATGTAGGTCAACAGTTTCTTGTAGTCAATTACCTAGTATCTGGGGGTATCTCTATGCTGCTTTCTCTCTAATTAACCCCTTTCTCTTTACTTGGCAAATGTCCAACCACTACCCCTCTTCACTTTCCATTAATTATCTCATTTAAATTCTTAGTAAATAATAAAAGCCATCAGATGAGAAGAGCTTCCTTCCTAACACCAAATCTACTGACTCCATGCGTGTTTGATGGATAAAGTAAAGTTGCTTCCACTCAAGGCCGCCCATGCTCTGCCTCTGCTCTCAGAGATGCCATTTCTGCAGCTTTATCATATTCTTCCTGGAATTTCTCCTTCTCCTAGGTTATTATCAACAGTTTACAAACACCCTTCAGTAGATTTAATAATAAAACAACAACAAATTAACTCTAAGACATTAATGAAAGAGCAATAAATGTGGACAGGGAGTTGACCTAGGGTTGGGATTCTGTAGAAAAGATTATTACAGGTTTTAGGAAATCTAGAGACTTACCATTTCAGAACATACATTTTTGAGTAGGCATAGAACTCTGTGAATGGAGAAGAGGGTTAAAACACTGGGATATTAAACATAAGAAGAGGCTTTACCCCATTTATTTCTGGCATTCCAAAGAATATATTGAAGGCAATGAAGAACCACAGTGTTATCTCTGAGTTCATCCTCCTCGGGCTGTCTGCTGACCCCCAGATCCAGGCTCTGCTCTTTGTGCTGTTCTTTGTTATTTACCTGCTGACCCTGATGGGGAACCTGATGCTGCTGCTGGTGATCGGGTTTGATTCCCATCTTCACATCCCCATGTACTTTTTCCTGGGACAGTTGTCCTTCCTCGATCTCTGCCACTCCTCTGTCACTGTGCCCAAGCTATTGGAGAATCTCCTGTCTGAGAAGAAAGCTGTCTCAGTGGAGGGCTGCCTGGCTCAGGTCTTCTTCCTGTTTGCCACTGGGGGCACCGAATCCTGCCTCCTCTCTGTGATGGCCTATGACCGTTACGTTGCCATCAGTTCTCCTCTGCTCTACAGCCAGGTGATGAACAGACAGCTGTGTGTGGGGCTGGTGTGGGGCTCCTGGGGCTTGGCTTTTCTGGATGCCCTCATCAATATCCTTGTAGCTCTCAATTTAGACTTCTGTGAGGCTCAGACTATCCACCACTTCTGCTGTGAGCTGCCCTCTCTCTACCCTTTGTCCTGCTCTGACGTGACTGCAAGTTTTACTGCCCTGCTCTGCTCCAGCATCCTACATTTCTTTGGAAATTTTCTCCTGGTGTTTTTCTCCTATGTTCGCATTTTGTCCACCATCCTGAGCATCAGCTCCACCACGAGCAGAAGCAAGGCCTTCTCCACCTGCTCCTCCCACCTCACTGCAGTGATCTTCTTTTATGGCTCAGGATTCCTCCGCTATCTCATGCCAAATTCAGAATCTACTCAAGAGTTAATCTTCTCCTTGCAGTACAGTGTGATCACCCCCATGCTGAATCCTCTCATCTACAGCCTGAAAAACAAGGAGGTGAAGGCAGCTGTCAAAAGGGTGTTGAGAAAATATTTCTAGTGTTTCAAATAATAGACAACACCATCAGAATGACGAGGATCCTGGGTAGAACTGCATCAAGCAGTGCCTGGATATTCAGAACAGTTCTCTGATGTCAGGATCTGCACAATACCTTACAGCTTTTCTGGAAAAAACCTAGACAGAGGTGAAGTGAATGTTCTTGGAATGATACCAGTTCAGTCCTAGTCAGTGGAAGGTGGGTGGATAAACCTCTTGTCTAGCAATTTTTCTTACAAAAATATTTAACTTATTATACACAGTATGGTGGACACTGTTATTACCCTCAGTCTGTCTTTGCCACCCTTCTAGCCACCCTTCTAGCAGCTAAACTCCGCTTGCTCAACATGGTTCCACGGAGACTGTTAGTCATGGTGTCCCCAAATCCTCCCCCTCCCCGCTCATTATTCATTCATTCTTCCTGGCACTGTGGCTGGTACAGGAATGAGCACATGGTCAGTGTCAGCCTTTCTCTCTGTAAGGAATTTTATTTTATTTTTTTATCCTCACCCGAGGACATTTTTTCATTTTTTGTTCAGATAGAGCGGGAGGGAGAGAGAGGAAGAGAGAGAGAGAGAGAGAGAGAGAGAAACATCGATGTGAAGGGTCACATCGAGTGGCTGCCACCCGCAAGACCAACCAGGGCCAGGGACAAACTGCAACCGAGGTATGTGCCCTTAGCGGGAACCGAACCCGGGTCTCTCTATACCGTAGGCCGAAGCTGCAACCGCTGAGCCAAACCGGCCAGGGCTCTCTGTAAGGAATTTTAAGGAGAGTTCAGAGAGGCCGAGGTCAGTCATTCTGCGTGCAGCACTCGGACAGTCTATCCCCGTGGCCCTGCTGCCAAGGTCACTAGTGTTAGTCTGGATTCTGTCTTTTCAAGGCTGATTTATAAACATGAATTATAGTAAGAACACATGATTAGATATTTGCATTATGTCAGGGACTTTGCTAAGCATTTTACATACATGAACCATTTAAACATCACAAGTGCTTTAGGTAGATGCTTTAGTTACTCTTATTTTAAGAAGAGGAAACTGACTCAGAGAGGTAGAAGGTGGGGATGGAATTTGGAACCAAATGGACTTACCCCTAAATCTATTTTCTTTACCACCTTGACACACTGACTCTCCCGCTGGATGCTGTGAGCTACCCCAGACCCAGTTGATGAATTCCCTTTTTTATGCTTTATTATTGTTGTTGTCTTAATTTGCTTTGCTTAAGTAAGTCAGAGTTAGAGTCTGTCATTTGCAAGAAAAAGGCCTAAAAGGTATATATTGGTGCCACCATGGAATTGCAGGTATAGACATCCAAGGACAATGAAGATATTTAAAATTTTGTTGAACTTACATATGTTCAACAGAGACCACAAAGAAGACATTTGTTTGTCCTGCTTCAAAACATTTACCTAATAGCAAAAAGTCCCCAGCTGCACACTGCTAGACAAGTAGCTCTGCCACTTGGCCCAGGGACGCCGCAGAGATGGCAGAACCTGAGAGCACCAGTCAGAGCAAATGCTGCACAGGCCTGCGGCAACTCCAAAAAGAAACCAGTGGATTTCAGCAAAGGTCCCTTAGCTCATGAAACACAACTGGAGAATTAATGAGAAGGAGATTTGGGAGAGATATGTGGATTGAAATTTTTATGGCCAAAAGTTAATTATTATTTCTTTTTGAAATTACTTTTTTGGTTTTTGCTTGTTTACAACCTGTCAACTGTCATCGTCCCCTTCATTTTGCACACTCTCTAGCAGCAGAGAATATAAACTCAAAGAGAGCAAGGTCATTTTGGGGTATCTTTACTACATTTTTAAGAATATTAAAATAGTTTCAAATATGCTTGTTGCACAATGAGTAAATTTTGAGTGTGTCAGTTATGGGCAAAGACATGAGAATATGTCTAGGATGGAGTCTCACCAGTGGGACCTCACTGCCAAAGCAGTTTGAAATAATTATATAAGTAGAACAGTCTATTATGTGAATGCAGATCTCTTCCTTCCTTGTGAGCCTAGTTCTGGGCCCTGGACTCACAGTTTGGCCATGGCTGGGCAAGGTGGTTATGCAAAGGTTCAACAAGATTTTCATGCATGAAGGCTGTTCTGCTGTTGCCACTGGTGAAATTTATTTTGATAAAGGTCATCTACAACTTTTGTTAGATATATTACCAGATACATTCCATTTTTTATTTCTATTGTGAATTAAAAATTAAATTACATTTATTACTTAGTTATTTCTAGTATATAAGAATGCTGTCGTTTTTTGTACATGGATCTTGTACCTGTCAAGTTTGTTGAATGACTTTCTTAGTTTTAATGGCTTGTTTATAGATATTATTGGGATTTTAAATTAAATTTTAATTATTTCATCTGAAAGGGAGATAATTTTTCTATGCAATTTTTATATATTTTATATTTTTAATTAAGTGGCCAGGACCGTTAGTACAGACATTTTTATATTGGGATCCGTGAGAAAGGTTCTCATGTTTCAGCATTAAGGATGATGTTTGTTCTGTTTTTGATAAATACCTTTGACTTAGTATACAAGTTCTCTTCTAACCATATTTTGCTAAGAATTGGTATAAAATTTCATCAAATGTATTTTCTATTTCTTTGAGTACAAGGACTTTTTCTCTTTTGTTTATTAATGTATAGTGTCTGTCACATAGTAAGTATGCAATACATACATGTTGAATAAAAAATAAATTTAATGAAATAGTCATATGGTTTTCATTTTTTAAATATAATTTTAAAAATTGATTTTAGAGAGAAGGGGGGAGAGAGAGAGAGAGAGAGAGAGAGAGAGAGAGAGAGAGAGAGAAAGAGAAACATCAGTGTGAGAGAAACATTGATTGGTTGCCTCCTGCATACACCCTGACCAGTGATTGAACCTACAACCTGGGTGTGTGCCCTGACTGGGAATCGAGCTCACCACATTTTGGTGTATGGAACTATGCTCCAACCTACTGAACTACACTGGCCAGGGCTATTATTTGATTTTTTAATAATAAATTTCATCAGTAAGTGTTCTGGTGTTGAAGAATTGTTGCATTCCTGAAATCACCCTACTTAAGTAGAGTGGTAAAAATGGAATTAACTTTCATCAGTATTTAACTTAAGAATTTCCTATTTATGTTCATAAGTGAGATAATATAATTCTTTCTTGCATTCTTCTAGTCTTTTCTTTTTAACAACTTTAATGGAATTATGTTTCACGCATCACAAAGTTCACGTATTCAATCCGTACAATGCCATGGTCTCTAGCACATTCACAGAGTTGTACAGCCATCACCACAACCCAATCTCAAAACATATTCATTGCCCGATACCTATGGGCAGTAAGCTCCAAACCCTCCCCCTGGCAATCGCTAATCTATTTTTTTCCCACATAGAGTTGCCTGCTTTAGACATCTGATCTTGGCATCAATAGTAAGCTTTCTTTCATCCTTGTATTTCCTTAAAATATTTTCATTAAAATGGGGTTATCCTTTCCTTGAAGGCCTTATAAAACTCATCTATAAACTTTTGAGAAATTCTTGTCTTTTTGTTGTTCTGGAGGAAAAATTTTGATTGTCAATTTAATTCCTTTAATGATTAGTGGTATATTTGGGTTTGTTATTTGTTCATGAATCAATTCTAGTAATTTGTAATTTTTAAAAAATATGTTTTGAAAGTTGTTTTTAGAGAGAGTAGAAAGGAGAGAGAGAGAAACATCAATGTGAGAGAGATACACTGATCGGCTGCCTCCTGCACGCCCCCCCTCTTCCCAGTCAGGGCACATGTCCAGGTTGTAGGGGATCGAGCCTACAACCTGGGCATGTGCCTTGACCGGGAATCGAACAAGGACCTCTCAGCCCATGGGATGATGCTCAATCCACTACGCCACACCAGCCAGGCTATAATTTGTAATTTTTGCCTATTATTAATATAATGTTTTAGCCCTGGCCAGTTTGGCTCAGCGGTTAGAGCGTCGGCCTGGGGTCCAGAGAGACCCGGGTTCGGTTCCCGCTAAGGGCACGTACTTCAGTTGCAGTTTGTCCCTGGCCCTGGTTGGCCGTGCGGGTGGCAGCCACTTGATGTGTCCCTTCACGTCGATGTTTCTCTCTCTCTCTCCCTTCCTCTCTCTCCCTCCCACTCTATCTGAACAAAAAATGGAAAAATATCCTCGGGTGAGGATATATATATATATATATATATATAATGTTTTACACTTCATTGCTATTTTATTACTTATAAAATCCTAATATTTTTCTCAATGCCTTTTAGCATTGATTTAATTTGAAAATAAAAACTTCAAACATACAGCAAAGTTGAAAGAATTCTATAGTGAATATCCATATAATCATATCTAAATTTTATTGTTAAAATTTTAGTATAGGTGCCTTATCAACTACCTGTCTATCCATTTGCTAATTACCTTTTTTAAATGCATTTAAAAAAAAAAACTTCAGCAGCCCAGCCTGTGTGGCTCAGTGGTTGAGCATCGACCCATGCACCAACAGGTCACTGGTTCAATTCCTGGTCAGGGCACATGCCCAGGTTGTGGGCCAAATCCCCAGTGGGGGGCATGAAGGAGGCGACCATGTTCTCTCTCATCGATGTTTCCATCTCTCTCTCCCTCTCCCTTCCTCTCTCTCTAAAACAATAAAGAAAAAAAATAAAAAAATAAATTCCTTACCCTGGAATTCCCTCCAATGACACAGGTCAGCCCATGCTTTCTGCTCCCACCAAGCTGCTTGAAACTCCCAGGTAAGAGTGTTCCTGATAGCCAGGAAGCTGACTCAAATTTGGGAGAACTCATCCTTGATGGAGCTTCTTCACCTTTTTTCTTTAAGAAACAAATCCTCTTAAAACAGCAAAAATAATTTTTCAGAGCAGGTACATTATTTGGGTGCATTATCAAAGGAGAAAGGGAAAGGAGTCTGTTGTTAAAACCAGGGATTTGGTGGAGTTACTTTGGAGGGAAGGGGAAGCTGGAAGTTTGAGGGAGACCATAGTATAGTCTTAA